GGGCATTGTGGCGGGCTCCTATAGTCCCAGCTAGTTGGGAGGCTGAGGCAAGAGAATCACTTAAGCCCAAGAATTGGAGGTTGCTGTGAGCTATGATGGCACAGCTCTCTACCTAGGGCCCCGAAGTGAGACTCTGTCTCAAAAAAAAAAAAAAATCTCAAAACAACAGATGCTGGTATGGATGTGGAGAAAAAGGAACACTTTTCCCCTGTTGATGGGACTGTAGACTAGGACAACCTCTATGGAAAGTCATATAAACATACCTCAAATAATTAAATTAGGCCTACCATTTGATCCAGAAATCTCGATATTGCGTATTTACCCAAAGGAAAAAGAGTCGTTTTGTCAAAAAGACATGCATACTCAAATGTTTATTTCAGCACAATTCACAATTGCAAAGATGTGGAACCAACCCCAGTGCCCATGGATACATGAATGGATTAATGAAATGTTGTACGTATATGATGGAGTACTATACACCCAAAACATCGTGAACTAATACCTTTTGTAACAATCTGGATGGAAATGAAGACCGTCCTTCTAAGTAAAGTTTCACAAGAATGGAAAAACAAACACCATCTGTACTATTACAGTGAAACTAATCCTCCCCTTGGTGAAGGACTCAACTACCACTTGAACTTTACCTTAGAAACGAAAACAATGTAACCTAAATATTTGTACCCTCTTGTTACTTTGAAAAGAAAATGGGAACTAACTGATGTGCACATTTGGTAGTAAAACTCAATGGAAGCAAGCAGGTGGGAGTGAGCAGGAAGGAAAGGGTAAAAAGGCCCTTAACAAGTACAATGTATCCAGTGAACTATCCAGTGAGGGGCACATTCTAACTTTGACTCACACTATACAAAAGCAGTTCATGTAAACAAAACATTTATACCCCATACTATTCTGAAATAAAAATAAAGAAAAGTCGAAGACAAAATACAAAAAAATCACAGATCTTAGAGCTGAGAAGGTTCCAACTCAGACCTATGTTTGGTGATGATAACCTCCTTAATTCTAAGAACCTTATATCTAAAAATGACTTTTTCTCTAAGGAAGCCTACCACAAGAAAAAGGAGTGAGAAAAGTCCCTTGATAATGAAAAAAGATTGGTCATTAGAACTGCTTTTTGTTTTTTGGGAGGAGGGTTCTCTTTTTAGAAATGAGGTTTCTTTCTGTCACCCAGGCTGGAGTGCATTGGCATGATCACAGCTCACAGCAACCTCAAACTCCTGGGCTCAAGCAATCCCTACCTCGGCCTCCCAAATACCTGGGACTACAGGCACTAGCCACCTCACCCAGATTAAAACAAACAAACAAACAAACAAACAAACAATATATATATATATATATATTTGTAGAGATGGGTCTCACTGGAACTCATGGCTTCAAGCTATCTTTTTACCTCTGCCTCTTAAAGTGCTCAGATTACAGGTGGGAGCCACCACACCTGGTAGTCATAAGAACGTTTTAAAACATCAAACCAAGGCCAGGCATGGTAGCTCGTCTGAAATCCTAGCACCCTGGGAGGCCAACGTAGGTGGGTTGCTTGGGCTCAAGAGTTTGAGACCAACCTGAGCAAACCTAGACCCCACCTCTACTAAAAATAGGAAAACTAGCCAGGCATTGTGACCTGCACCTGTAGTCCTAGCTACTTGAGAGACTGAAGCAAGAAGGTCTCTTAAGCCCAAGAGTTTGAGGTTGCTTTGAACTATGACATCACAGCACTCGATTCAGGGCATAGAGGGAGACACTGTCTCAAAAAAAATAAAAAATAAATAACCAAACCAAAAGTGAGACATGCAATTGGGGTGGAGAAGAAAGCAGTTTCTTTATTCATTTTTAGGATTAAAATAGAGAAATTCTGTTGATGGAGTTTATGGTGGCTGATGTCCTAGAAAGTATAAATTAGAAAGTACTGGCCGGGTGGGATGGCTCAGGCCTATAATCCTAGCACTCTGGGAGGCCAAGGTGGGTGGATTGCTTGAGCTTAGGGGTTTGAGACCAGCCTAAACAAGAGCAAGACCCCATTTCTAAAAATAGCCTGGTGTTATGGGGCTCCTCCTGTAGCCCCAGCTATGTGGGAGGCTGAGGCAAGAGAATCGCTTGAGCCCAGGATTTTGAAGTTGCTGTGAGGTATGACACCCCAGCATTCTACCAAGGGCAACAAAGTGAGACTCTGACAAGAAAGAAAAAGAAAGAAAGGCAAGAAAGAAAGAATTGTCTTCAAAATTAGTAGTAACAGTATTTATCAAATTTACACCGAATTTATAGCCCTTTGAACATACTTTGACTTTATGTTCAATTGTACTGCTGACCAGTCTTTTAAAAAGGTTTTACAGTAGAAAGAGTATGGCTTGTTGAGCCAGATAGACCTAGATAGGAAACAGTGGCATGCCACTTGTTAACTTGCCCAAATCATTTGATTATCCTGGGTCAGTTTCCTTATGAGTAAAATGGGAATACTTATTTCTTTTTTTTGTTGAGACAGAGCCTCAAGCTGTCCCTCTGGGTAGAGTGCTGTGACATCACAGCTCACAGCAACCTCCAACTTCTTGGGCTCAAGCGAGTCTCCTGCCTCTGCCTCCCAAGTAGCTGGGACCACAGGCGCCCACCACAACACCCAGCTATTTTTTGGTTGCAGCTGTCATTGTTGTTTTTGGCGGGCCGGGCTGGATTTGAACCTGCCACCTTAGGTGTATGTGGCTGGCGCCTTAGCCACCTGAGCCACAGGCGCCAAGCCGTGAATACTTATTTCTAACAGAGGTGTTGAAAATTTAAATAAGTATTTAACATCCCTGATATTGGCAGACCCTCCATAAACTTATGCCAAATTAACTAAAATTAAGTAATTAAGCTAGGGATAAACTTAAATAATTTTGGACTCCAAAGATATCTTTTCCTATTTTAAGACGCTTCTATTTAGTTTGGGGGAGGGTAAAACAGTTAACTGTTATGTTTTAACTATTAAAAAAAATCTGTTACGGGCAGCGCCTGTGGCTCAAAGGAGTAGGGCGCCGGCCACATATGCCGGAGGTGGTGGGTTCAAACTCAGCCCCCCCTCCCCAAAATCTGTTACATAAGCACAGGGTGGTTACCCAGTTTAATTGACACCTAAACTCTCTTTGGGACTGGGGATGGGGGCAGGCAGGGAGTCACAGCCCTGTCAAAAGGGACTTGCTGAGGCCCAGGGCAAGATGACAGATCAGCTGAGCCGGTCAGCTCGGAGCTGATTTTACTTATGCATCTTGGGAGTGAGCGGGGGACTTTGCTTTGGCAAGTTTTGTCCTTAATCCTCCTGGTCCCAGGTGAGGCTGGCGGAAATTTGTCAGCGGTAAATTCTTTGCCTTGCCTACATTTGAAAAGGGAAAATGAGCCCCACCGCTCCAGGCGATCCCGCGACAGCGACAGTTACTACCTCTGCGTTCTGGAATTGAGGGAGGGGCCCTCGCCTCCCCTTACGTCACTTGTCTACGACTGCGCCTGCGCGGGACACGAGGCTGGCGGGGGTGCCGCGGCCCCCTGCTGGGGTTGCTGTGCTTCCGGAGGCGGTTAGGAGTCGGGACTAATTCTTTCCTGTGAGCCTTGGGCTTGTGCTCTTCGATGAAGCCGGGTCGCTATGTCGCAAATCCTCGCCTCGGGACGCGCGATATGGAGAACGTGCGAGGAGGCAGCACGGAAAGTCACGGGAGCAGAGTCTTCGCCACCCGTCTCTCTACACATCCCGGGCTCTGGGACCCGATGTCTTTCGTCACTGGAAGGCCTGAGACTGCCTCTGCCGCGGGAAGAGTCACCTTCTCAAGAGCTCAAGGACTGGAGCGGAGACCAGGGCTCGTCTAATACGGCGCACCGGGGATCCGCTGGTCCCTCGCTGCCTGCCCTGGCCCAGTCGGCGACCGAGGTCGAAGAGCTTCACCCCTGCCCTTACCGCTCACTTTCCAGAGAAGGACCCTTTCAGGCTGGGCAGTTGATGTTAGCTGAGGCTGGGAAGAGAGAGACACAATTTAAAAAATGATATAGGTTGAGCAATTCCAGACACTTTAATAGTAGCTAGCTGGGGGGCAGTCCGGTTCAGCAAGATCGTGAGGGAAGTTCCCCGGCCAGATGCTGAGTTCCTTCGGCAAGCACTTGGTGCTGAGAAGGCCGACCTTGGAGGACTATGTATTATTGATGAAAAGAGGGCCTGGCGTAACATACCCAAAGGTAATGCGATGGGGATTAGGTGTGTGTAGGGTCCAGGAAGAGCAAAGATAGATGCAGTGCTACAAGGCTGGTAAATGCACTCAAAGCATCCCCCTCTCTCTCTCTTTCTCAAAACAGTCTCACTCTTCTACCTGGGTAGAGTGCTGTCACATCATAGCTCGCAGCGACTTTAACTCTTGGGCTCAAGAGATCCTCTTGCCTCATCCTCCGAAGTAGCTAGGATTACAGATGCTCTTCATAACTCGTGGCTACTTTTTCTATTTTTAGTAGAGACGGGTCTTTATTGTTTAGGCTGGTCTTGAACTCAAGCAATCCAACCGCCTTGGCCTCTTGGAGTCTCGTTTCCCTATCTGTAAAATGAAAACAATGACAACTTACTGTTAGAATGTACAAAATAAGTGCATATATTTGTGCCCCATTACTTATCAGTTTGCAAGTTCAGCAACATTCAAGGGAATGTTGAACTTTTTTGTTGTTGTAGTTGTTTAGCTGGCCTGGGCCAGGTTCCAACTTGCCACCTTCGGTGTATGTAGCTGACGCCAGTAACCACTGTGCTATGGGTGCCAAGCCAGAATGTTGAACTTTTGAGGACAATTTTGTAGTACTGTTATGGTGAAAATTTGATCATTTAGGCTCGGTGCCTGTACCACAATGGTTACAATGCCAGCCACGTACACTGAGGCTGGCCAGTTGGAACCCGGCCGGGGCCAGCTAAACAACAATGACAACTACAGCAAAAAATAGCCCGGCTTTGTGATGGGTGCCTGTAGTCCCAGCCACTTGGAAGGCTAAGGCAAGAGAATCACTTAAGCCTTAAAGTTTGAGGTTGCTGTGAGCTGGGATGCCACAGCACTCTACCGAGGGTGACAAAAAAAAAAAAAGAAAATTTGATCATTTAATTTAATAAGGTGTGTTACTAGAGGTATATTTTATCAATAATGTATATATTACTATGCTTTTCCCTTTAGGAAAAAAATAAAGTTTAGTATTAAAGCAGCTAACATTAAATGTCACTAACACTAAAACATCAAATGAATATTCTATATAATTGCCTAGTGTCTAGTTTCAATCATATTCTCATCATCCATTCCCAGTGGCTTATTTCAACCCTTACAGTTCCAGCCCTTGAGTAGAATGTTCTTTTGTAACACAGCTTCTTTCCCCAAATGACAATACATTCGTTATTTATTCAGCAAATAATTGACTATCTTTATATTCAAGGCACTATTTTATGGAGGTCAAGTGTTGAAGGTATGGTGTTGAATCCTAGCCCTTGCTCTCAGCTTAAACCTTGTATTCTAGGATGTGTGACAAAGACAAGTAAATGAAAGAATTCGGTCATTTCAGGCAATGCTAAGTGCTACGAAGACAAATAGATTAACAATTTAAAAATGGCATTGTGTTGGGCTGAGGGGCGTGGAGAATACTTTATGTGAGGTGATTACATAAGGTCTCTAAGAGGTACAGTTGATAGGAAACCTAAATAAGGAAGCGACTTCCTTGCAAAGATCTAGGACCATCCCTGTTACAAAGTGAGAACTCAGAGGTTAAGTAATTTGTCCAATGTGATACTGGGAGGAATTAAGTGGAAAAGTCAGGAGTGGGACCTCTGTTGAATTCCAGAGACAACACTGTTCACCATTATACACTATACCAAATGTTAGTTGAGACTGTTGGCCTTCGTTTCAACATTCCCCCAATACCCAGACCTTTCAGAGTTTACAATAAGCAGCAAATCTGATAAATTATTATTAGTATCCTTTCCTTTTCTGGGAAATATTGCTTGTGAAAATTTAAAAAGGAAGAGATTTCTGGGATCCTTTCTGTCCAGTCACAATAAAATTGTAAATTAAATACAGGTTTGATTGCAAAAGTAAATATTTAACAAGTATAGGTCGGGTAGAAGCCAAAACGTATTTTCTGAAATGCTGGACTAAGGCTTGGTCAAATGACACACACAAATTTTTAAGATGTATTAGTCAAAAAGTTTCATTCACAAATGTTTAGTCTTTCAGATGTACATATAGCCTTCATGTGTCAGCGCCTTGAGGTAGAGATAGGAGGGGGCACAAACAACTTCACATGGCGGTGGGCGGCAGCTTGGGCAGTCATTTCAGTGGAATACTGTAGAGCAGTGGTACTCAACCTTCCTAATGCCGTGATGTATTTTCATTGTTACAAAGAGGTCACAATCCACAGGTTGAGACCGCTGCTAGAGACTTAGTTCTTTTTTTTCTGGGATCGTTCACATGAGATGCCGAAATGTGGCATGTTCTGAACAAATTGAATACACTTAAGCTGTTGCTTTCTGCCCTTTAGCTTACATGGTCTCAATGGGATGAGTTTTCTAGTTTGAATCCCACTATGTATTAATACATTCTAAGAATTGCAGTCTAAAATGTGTGCAGGACGTTAGCATTTACTCATTTCCCTGCCTCTTTCCAAAAGCAATTCGAGGCTACTGGGAGACAGTTATGAAGTATCACTTTACTATTGAATTTTCTACAGAAGGAAAACTTTCAAACAGTCTTTCTAGATTTCGATTTTTTTCTCCAATAGGACTCAGGAATAATTATTTCTGATTAAACAAGATAATGTATGAAAACAGTCACAGAAGCCAGGCATGTGGTAAAACTTTGATAAACAGCTCTTACTGCTGTCATCTAGGATGTTGGGATTTGATTAATAGAAACACTTCTTCAGTTACAGTGTTGCCAAATGGGTCCTCAGATCTGTTCATCATAGTACCGTATCCTGATTCTAAATTAGTTCATCATTTTATGCAGATATTATTTTTGAGACAGTGTCTCACTCTGTCACCCTGGGTAGAGTGCTGTGGCTTCACAGCTCACAGCAACCTCAAACTCCCAGGCTCAAACAAACCTCTTGCCTCAGGCTCCCAAGTAGCTGGGACTATGGGTGCCTGCTATAGCTCCTGGCTAGTTTTTCTATATTTATTAGAGACAGAGTCTTGTTCTTGAACAGGCTGGTCTGGAACTCCTAAAGTCAAGCAATCTGCCACCCTCAGCCTCCCAGTGTGCTAGGATTACAAGAGCAAGCCTGGCCTATGCAGTTATTGTTAAAGTACACGTTCCTAATTGGTCCTGCCTCTAATTTTTCTCTAGTAAATCCTGTATTCCCCAGAGTAATCTTCATAAAATGCCATTTATATTGCCTCAGTGACATGCCCTAGTTGTTTACCAGGCCAACTTCAGATGCCTAATACTGGCATTTAAGTCTTGTGTCTCCTGACATGAACAAACTGTGCTTATTCTACCACTACTTTATTTAAAACTATTTCTACCTATGATCATTTCCTTAAATCCTCTACTCTCTGTCTTTAAGCTGGGGCAGTCTGCTGTCTTCTCTTTTCTCTCGGAGCTCCTAAAGTATTTTTCATAACTTTAATATTGAGTGCTGCCTTATTTGTTAATTGATTTCTTGAATCTCTCTTATCAAACAAAATATAAATTCTTTGTTGCAGTCTGTTGGCTAGGAAGGGAAAACAATTTTTTAAATTAAGAATAACTAAAAAAATAAAGGAGCCTGAAATATTAAAAAAAAAAAAAAAGAAAAACTAAGAGAAGTAAAACGAGGAAAAATTAAAAGTTGTACAAATATGAATGCTTTGTAGATAGGGCCGAGTCCTAACTTTTTTTTCTCTCCCATCTCCATGTCCAACAATGTAAGATGAGAGTAGGTGCTTAGTCACTGAGTCGCCTGTTGTGTTCCAGTCGTAGGATAGGAATATGGTACTGTTGAGGATTAGCACTCCAGGTGATACTGTTTTGGAAGCTGGCTCAGGCTCTGGTGGAATGAGCTTATTTTTATCCAGAGCAGGTAAGAGATTGGGTTTAGTGAGCTGGATCTCAATCACAAAACATTCAGCTTGTTAATAATAGAAAGTTAAAAGAGGTAAGATATATGGGAAAATACATGCCTTTGTGATAGAGAACATCCTCCTGAAAACCAAATAGAAGCAACTGTTTTTCTTTCCATTTTGCACATTTATTCCAGTCTCTCTTTTTATCCCTTCCTCCCTTTTCTTTCTCTTGTTTCCTTCATGCTCTCTAATGCTTCTACATTTTTTGGGGGGGGGTTTGTTTGTTAAGATTTTCTTTTCCCAACCTTTCTACTGCTCCCATGCCAGTCCTGAATTTAATGTTGTTAATATCTTAACATTTTCATTGATGTTTCTACGTTTTTTTAAAAAACCTTTTATTGGAGCATCAGATAGCTGCAGAAAAGTGCATAGATCATAAATGTACACCTCAATGAATCTTTTTATAGTGATCAACACTTGTGTAGTTATTAGGTCAAGGCAGGAAATGTTCCTGTAGCACTGAGGCCTCCTTCTGTCCTTTCCCAGGCCCTGTTCTCCCCAAAGGTGATCACTGGTCTAACTTTTATCACCACTGATTAGTTTTACCTACTTTGAACCTTATATAAGTGGAATCATTCTTGTTATGTTTGTGAGAATCATTCTTGTTATGTTGTGAGATTGCATACAGCAGTATTTTCATTTTAGCTGCTGTTTAATACTCTATTTTATACATAAATCATAATTGATCCATTCAACTGCTAATGGAATTTTGAGTTGGATGTTACTAGTAGTGTTGCTCTGAGCCTTCTACTTGCCTTTTGGTCCACATATGTACATGTTATTGTTGAGTAATAGTGCAAGATGATACTCAGCATGAGAGAATGTGGAAGGAGCAGGGGCTGCTGGAAAAGAGTTATATCCTATTAGGGCCATAGGAGTGTAGTTGGTGTTCATAAATAAATTAATCATAATACAGAACTATTAAGTAAAAGTTAGATCATGAGTTTTCTTTCAGAAGATCTCTAAAAATTGTCAGATGGTAAAAAGTATTGCTAAAGGGCACATGTCTGATCAAAAATCAACAAGTATATCATTAAAAGTAATTTTTTTAGGCTTCTACTATTTTTATTTCTTGTTATTTTTATCCTAGTTGATTAGTGCCCCCTTTGACTACTTAGTTCTTCTCAGTGTCAAGGTCTCTTTGGCTGGTCTGCCTTTGCAGTATTCCCTTCCCTACCTGATAATAGATTGCTCAACAGTCTCAGTAAACTCTTTGGGTACAGATTTTTGTTAAAAAAATTACAGATGGGCTCGGCACCTGTGGCTCAAGTGGCTAAGGCGCCAGTCACGTAAACCCAAGGTGGCGGGTTCGAATCCAGCCTGGACCCGCCAAACAACAATGATGGCTGCAACCAAAAAATAGCCGGGCATTGTGGCGGACGCCTATGGTCCCAGCTACTTGGGAGGCTGAGGCAGGAGACTCGCTTGAGCCCAGGAGTTGGAGGTTGCTGTGAGCTGTGATGCCACAGCACTCTACCCAGGGGGACAGCTTGAGGCTCCTATCTCAAAAAAAAAAAAGAATTACAAATGGACATATAAGATGAACACATGAAATTAAACTTGTATCTCCCTTTTGTTCTTTGACCCAATACCATCACATATCACGTATGAACTTTACCCAGATTATTCGAGGACAGTAAATTCATTCTGGGCTTCTCAAATTTTTCATTTGGCTCTTTTCTGTATACAGTTAAAGGTTGTTTTTTTCCTTAGTATCTTTTTTTTTGAGACAGAGTCTCTCTTTGTCACCCTTGGTAGAGTGCTGTGGCATCACAGCTCACAGCAACCTCAAACTCTTGGGCTCACGCGATTCTCTTGCCTCAGCTTCCCAACTAGGTAGGACTACAGGTGCTGGGCACAACACCCAGCTATTTTTTTCAGTTGTAGTTGTCATTGTTGTTTGGCAGGCCTGGCTGGGCTGGGTTCCAACCCACCAGCTCCGGTGTATGTAGCTGGCGCCCTAGCCACTGAGCTACAGGCGCCAAGCCAGTTTTTCCTTACTATCACTGACAAATTCGCAAATGCATGCTTCCATTTGACAAAGTGGATTTATGAAAATCTGTGAGAAAGGAGAAGTGCCTATGTGTCTAAAATAGAATTGTAAGAGTGAATGTCGGCTCGGCGCCTGTGGCTCAAGTGGCTAAGGCGCCAGCCACATACACCCAAGGTGGCAGTTTTGAATCCAGCCTGGGCCCGCCAAACAACAATGATGGCTGCAACCAAAAAATAACCGGGCCTTGTGGCAGGCGCCTGTGGTCCCAGCTACTTGGGAAGCTGAGGCAAGAGACTTGCTTGAGCCCAGAAGTTGGAGGTTGCTGTGAGCTGAAATGCCATGGCACTCTACCAAGGGTGACAAAGAGAGACTCTGTCTCAAAAAAAAAGATACTAAGGAAAAGGAGCTTGAGGCTCCTGTCTCAAAAATAAAAAAAAAAAGAGTGAGTGTCATGGAGTGAATAATCCCAAACCACAAGTGATCAATAAATTATTGCTACTGTCCTATGTAATGAACATCTTTTTCCTCCATAATTCCCTTTTCTAGTTATTTAACTTATGTTGCTATTAATATTAATTTTTACCCCTGAGAACATGATGACTTGTAGCTGGAGTTACATTTCAAAAAACATCCTGGAATTAAAGCATTTCATTAGTAAACTATAGACTGATAAATCTGAGATAATCTCCAAATGGTTTTAGATCACCTGGGATGTAGGTGGGTAGAGAGTTAATTTCCTTGAGTTAAAAATGTAGGTAGTAACTTCTCTGGAATCAGTGTTACTAAATGGTTTGAAAATTCTTCAGAATTTTTCAAATTACAATTTGTACACACAGGGTACAAATACATTCTTAAAATACGAAAGGTTCAACCTCATTCATAATAAAAGAAATGCAACTTAAAGGTCTAATCCTAAACTATATTCACTTTTTAGATTGACACAAATTAAAAAGTTTGATAATTTTGTTGGACAGAGTATGGAGAAATAGGCACTCTAATACATTCCTGGTAGACATATAAATTGGTACTACTTATTTGGAGGAAAGTTTTTTTCAAAATAAAAAGTTCACATACCCCTTGGGCCAGCAATTTCATTTTTAGGACTTTACCCTATAGAGATGTTCTGGCTCATGGTACAAAGACGTAGGCACAAGGATTTTCACTGCAGTATTATTGTATTATGACATGACTAGAAACAACCTAAATGTTCACTGGTAGGTAATTGGTTAAATTATAGCATAGACATAAACTGGAGTATAATAGCTGTTGAGAAGAAAGCAAGTTAAAGAAAGAATGCAGCGTTGTCAGTAATTGCTGAAATGACATTGGTAAGTAAGAAGTATGATACAGGACTGTGTGTAGGATACACCTCAACGTGTGTTAAATACAGAGATCCTTGCCTGCTAGCACAGGCAGTGACCACCGTGGGAAGGGTAAATAACCGGAAATAGGGTTGCCTCTAGACAGGGAGATTAGTGGGGGATCACAGACGGGAGGAGGACCCTTCTAACTTGGAACTACAGTAGAACCTCCATAGTTGACCACCTCAAGTTGACCTAATTTTCACAGACAGGAGAATGTGTATCCATTAACATAACAGGAGAGTAGGCCTAGTTCTTTATGTTGACCACCTCCTCCATGTGTTGACCAGCTTGTCCCTTGGGGGGGGGGTCTACTTAGTAGTGGTTCTACTATATTTGAATTATTTTTCACATACATGTAATGTTGAGAAATAAATTCTGACACTTTTTAATGAACTGATTAACACTATGAAATAGCAGATTGTTTTTTTTTTTTACTTAAGTATAAAGGACAAGGACAAGTCATAACTCTTGAAACATGAAAAGACCACCATGATCTGGCTAAGAAGAATTACAAACACTGGCATGATTCATGGAAGTTAAGTCATGTAAAAAAGTGGCCTAAAAACATGGATTTTATTCATAGGTATATTTCAGAAACATCTAAAGACATAAAATCTTTAAAATTTGATACAGTAAGTTTATGTTTTTTTTTTTTTTTTTTTT